CCAGCACTCCAGGCTTCAAGGACCACGAAAGTCAGGAGCATGAGGATCAAGAGGGCATAGGGTTTAAGGGTTCAAATGGGCCAGACATACCACAGCCTGCTGCTGAATAGGGCTAGGCTAATAAATAAGGGGTGCTCTAAGAAGGGTAGCTGTCTCTTATACACATCTAGATGTGTATAAGAGACAGGCTTCTAGCTATAAAAGGCGACTCATGAGATCTGAGTTCACAGTCACCTACCTTATGCTATCAAGCAGACAAGTAATTTAGGCTACAACAGCAGATATACCTGCCTAATCTTATTCTTGGAAGGCAAGCCCTGCAGCCTGCACTCCAGGCTTCAAGGACCACGAAGGTCAGGCTGTCTCTTATACACATCTAGATGTGTATAAGAGACAGGCCATGACGGGACTGGTAAATAATTATCTTCCCATTTCTGAAAGTTTTCCGGCGTTTGACTGACTGATTGACTTTATGTGCCTCTTTGTTTTTCGAGCAGGTATTCAGTGTGGGGCAACAAAGTCCGCGATGAAGAGGACACAGTAAGTGCACTCTTCACTTCCTTCTTCCCTTTTTGCCTTTTTTTTTTTTTTTTTTAATTTGGACCGCTTTGCAATTTGTGTCTGTCATCACCGATTCTTTATCTCAGCACCATGCTAGTAATAATTTTCTCTGTATCAAAAAAAAACAAAAAATAAAAAATCTCCCAGTTTTCACGGCTACTACATCCATCCCCCAAGGACAGCACTCTCTGCTTGCTTCTGTTTTTTCTTTTCTTTTTCACCCCTTCCCTTTCTTGTCTAGGCCCAGATAGTATTGTTTTTTTGTCCTATTAGGAGGATTACCTCTCTGGTTTACTCCTCCTAAGTGTTGACAGCAAGCCCGGACAGTGGAAGAAAACAACAGGCCATTACAGCCTTCCGGGAACTCTGGATCGATCCCCACGGAAAGATTGCAGAAGTGCAGGATAATGGAAAGCTGATATGGAAGAACTGGGCAGCGCAAGGGGATCAGTGGTCCTTCAGACCGCCGCACAGCTTTCCTACCCCTCTACCAGGCCAAACAATAGGGGCAATGATGTCAAGGCCCTTAATAGCAAGCCCAGCAACCCAGACCCAGGGGGATTGGGCCCCCAATCACCCCTCCCCTCGCTTAGGACACCCTTCCCCCC